CCGCTCCGGCCATGGCCTAAGCGGGCGGGCGGGCGGCCGGCCGGCGCAGAAGATGAGTTTCCAGGCGGAGGACGGCGTGGGCAGCCTCTGCCACAAGGCTCTGCAGATCATCTCGGAGCTGTGCCTAGGCGGGCAGGTGGAGCGGGAGAAGTGCGCTGGCATCTTCCCCCTGGAGACGGCCCGGCAGGGCATCGGTGGCACAGGTACCGATACACCGGGCCCTCCGCCGGGCTCGTCCTGCCGCCGCCGCGGGGCGGACAGCGACGGCGTGGGCGGCCGGAGAGCGCAACTTTTTCCTTTGCTTTCCCTGCGTGCGGAGGGGGCGGAAGGGGGGCAGGCACGCAGCCCGCTTTAAAATCCTCTCCCTCTCGCAGCCCGCGGATGCTCCCGAGCAGCAACGAGGGAAGCGCCGGGACCGCCGGGGTGGGGGACAGCGCTCCGGCGGAAAACGCGGGGCAGCGGGCGAGGGTGCGGGCGTGGCACGGGGAGCACTGAGAGATGCCGAGGGGAGAGAAATTGCCGCCGGCGTGCGAGCTTCGCCGCCGGCTGGAGCCCTGCCGCCGGAGACGGCCCCGTACCCCCGCAGCTCCCTCGTTTGCCCCCCCGCAGCTCCGCTCCGGCAAGGTTTTCCCCGCGGCGGGAGTTTCTCCTTAGGCAAAGCTCGGACCCGAGCTTCTGCGTGTATTTGCTGGGCCGTGCGTGCGGGGAGCGGGGCAGAGGGGCTGCGTCTGATGTTCTTGCCACGGGTGGGCAGTGGTTCCGCGCGGCGGGCGCGCCACGCGTGGGCTGAGCCCGCTTGCCCTCTCTCTTCTCCCCGGCCGTCCTTCTGCGTTTGGCGGGTCGCGCTGGCGGCCCCGGCAACAGGTTGCGCGGCGGGGCAGCGGCGGGAGGACGGGCAGCAGGCATTGCTCGGGGCTCAGCCTGGGCTCGAGGCTCAGCCTGGGCTCGGGGCTCAGCCTGGGCTCGGGGAGCATTTTTGGCTCGGGGCGCAGCCTGGGCTCGGGGCGCAGCTCGGCAGTTCCCTGCTCGCAGTATCCCCTTTCTGAGCGGGTGTGAGGCATTTCACACCTTCTCCGCTAATCGCTGAGAGCGGCAGGAGAGCTGTCTGACGGTCGGTGGGAACCTGTGAAGTCAGGGCAGCACTCTGGTCCGGGACTCATCCAGAAAAATTTGGGGAGGGTGGAAGGAGGGAATTCGCATTAATTCAAGCATTCCGAAGCCAGGAAAATTGTCGGTATCGAAACCAAGATTTTGAACCCTAAAAGTGGTATCTTTGGTCCCCGATTTCTAGATTTTCTGTATCTTTCGGAACTGGCTCTTGCATTATCCTGTGCAGTACTCTCTGGACACCTTGCTTTCCTTGGCACTTTTTTTTAGGACGGGGCTTGAAAATGAGTCGAAGTTCTGTGCTTGATTTCTGCCGGGAGGGTTGGTAATCTCTTCTGTCTGCCCATAAATGCAAATGTACAGGTTGCATTATGGCCATCAAATGCCAATTGTACAATGCAAATTAAATAAATTAACACCAGGTCATGTAAAGCAGCAGGCTCTCAGCGTGTGCCCCAGCTGCTCTCTTGCTGCCCCCAACAGCTGATATTTTTATTTTTTATTTTCTTCTAATACCCACCGTTTTTACTGCAAAACCCGGGGTTATTTGTAATATCTCAGATCAGAAAAACCTGTTGTCTGATCCTGCCTGACCCAGCCCGGCCCGACCCAGCGGGTCTAGGTTCCCCCCGGGCACCCCTTCCCCCGCCGACCCCATGGCCAGGGCAGGGCAGGCAGGCTCAGGGGTCCCAGCCTGCTTCTCCCAGCACGGATCATGAATTTATTGTGACAAATTTATAAATGCCAAATACTGAATAAATTCTAGTTGATCATGCACTGTGTTAGTTGTCACAATCCAAATGTTAAAAGGGTGAATGAAAATAACAGTACCCTATGGAGCCTGGAAACTTGGTCTCTGAAAAGAGTTGATCTGATTTTTAGAGGGTACTGCACAGAGAGTCAGTATTAGGTGTAATATAAAAACAAAGTTGTTGTATGAACGGGTGGGATATGAAGAATACAAAACATCCCACGAGGTAGACCAAGATCTGCTCTTTAGAAAATATGAGTGTGCAACGTTAGGTTTGATATTGCATTGTGTACAGTAACAGGAGCTTCTTTTTAAACATTGCTTGAAAGTCAATGATCTTGTTGGTCTTTCATTTGTAAACCCTATACCTTGCCATTGTTGGATTAAGAAAAGGATTTATAATTAACAGACAAGGGGCTGGCTTGATCAACTGGGTCCCACATCTCAGGTGAACTCCCAAATCTCACTTTTTTTCTCCCTAAAAAGAAACCATCATTAGATGATGAGTGTCAGGTTTATTGACATGCACATTATATTGAGCATTGTCTCATTAATAACACTGCTAATGAATGTATATTAATACTTTCTGTCTCCAGAGGAGGAACAGACACACTGTCATTGTTGATAATTGACAATATTTTAATATGTAAACACTTGGATAGACAAGATAGAAATATCACTTGCATCAATTTTATGAACAGAAATATTCTAAATACAGTTCAAGCTGAGAGAAATGTTGTTATTGAAAGGTGAGCCATGCCGTATCTCTTCTGCTCTTCAAATGCACATAGAGTTCCTTGTCATTGCTATGTATAAAGCTAATGTTGTCCAGAGTGTTGAGCATCCATAGTTCCTGTTCATTAAAGGTAGAAATGTCAAGTGTTCTTCATAATTGTTCTGAGAATGTAAGTCATAAATATTTGTGTTTGTCTGAATCTGTGCCTCACACATAGGGTGGAAGCATTTGGTGTGAGAGTCTGCATCATGTAGCCATGTCCTTCTTGCTTGAGTAAATTCTGCACAGTTCTGTTCTCTTGCAGCTGTAACTGTATGGTAGAGAGCCTCGAGGAATGGCTAATTTAGCCCTATCAGTTTTGCTGTATGTCCCAAATGATGCTGTGGGAAGCACTTTCCCAGTGTATGCCCACACTGGGAGGCGCGCATCACGGAATCAGTTCAGCTATCTGCTTTCTGAGGCTCCAGCTATAGCAGTGTGTTGGGAATTAACTCCTGCAACAAGCACTGGAGTGTGTGGAGAATATAAAACAAACACTGTAGTAAGAAGATAATTGAGTTGTTAGGAGGACTTGTGCAGGGCTAAGAGTTGGACTCGATGATCCTTGTGGGTCCCTTCCAACTCAGCATATTCTGTGATTCTGTGACTTCTGGAATATGTGGGGAAGATAAAAGACTCTGAGATGTTTATTACAGAATAATGGCTTATTATTATATGTTATGTTATACAATGACAGCTAAACTTTCAACTTTTGATGGAAATCCAAAAAGCAAATAGCCCCAGAGAAGGAGAGGAAAGAAATAATTAATGGCTATATAGGGATAGCATGTTCTCTCTTTAAATTATGGGTTCATTCGGTTTCCCTCATCTCAGAAAGATACCTAGGAGTGTCACAAAGATAGCATAGGTAAAAGTCACTGCTAAGCTTTCACTGAAAGAAAGAACTCTAACCTTCACCAAGCCTGACAAAGTTCAAGAAGTGTTTGGACAGTGCTCTCAGGAACATGGTGTGATTATTTGCGATGTTCTGTGCAGGACCAGAAGTTGGACTTGATGATGCTTGTGGGTCCCTCCCAAATCAAAATATTCTGTGATTCTGTAAATAATGAGGAGACTAATATTTGGAAAGGAAAGAATAGTGTAAGGAACCTTTCAGAAAGTAAAAGAGTAGATGGTGAAAAGGAAAGCAGACTATTTCTATTTAATACGAGAATAAAAACATGTTCTGAAAGTTGAAAATATTTTAAAATGCAGCAAGAACTACATTGATATAGCTGTATTAGTGAGTCTAGTGATTGCTTTCTGTTCAGCTAGACCATGAAAAGCAGCCAGGTTTCTCAAAGGAAGCAACTGCTTGAGGCAGAAGATGCACCATCCAATTGCAGCAAATCAAAGCAAAATATGAGACAGTGTCGACCTCGTGACCCAAGAAGTTTCACAGGGAAGCAGAGAGGCTGGGCACTGATTTTTTTTGATAGTATAGGTGTCTAGATAGGAGAAAAAGGCATGACAAAGATAACAGAATCAAACACAAAGAAGAGGAAGCCAGCGACACAGAATAAAAAATGGTGAGTATATGGCTCTGAGAAGGCAGAGTATAACAAAATGAAGTAACAAAGCAGAAAGGAGGGATATTTGGGTTTGCTGCCAACCAGAGAAATAAGAGTTTTTACAGTCTTTGTGAGCAAACAGGATTACGTGAAAAAAATGACTGATTATTCATAGGTTTTTTGCCTTCAGTGACAGCACCACCACCTTAGGACCCTCAATTACTGCTCAATGCCTGGGTCAGAAAGGGATAATCATATTTAGGATGATGGATAATAAATCTCTAAAACTCATAGCAAAGAATCTTAGTGAGATAAATAATTTTGTAAATTTCCAGGAACTTTAGACAATTAGTGAAGATAGACATCTGTTGTTATATTGTCTGCCCTGGTAATTACAATAGCTATTCATTCTCATCTCAGGGGGATGCTCAAGTGAAAAGATTAGGAAGCTGTTTATGGTACCTTTATATGATTAGATTACTATGTGAGCTTTCTTCTCAAAGTAATAACATTTTTGGCAAAATGCTCAATTACATGTGCAGCTGTTTTGTTTTTATTTTACACCTCCAGAACATTTGGGTAAAATGGTTAAGATGTCAGTTGTAAGAGTTTAGGTGGAAAATAAATGGGAGGTGGATATGCAGGATTGCACCCAGCACAATTTATATCTGAGCCTGGTAAATTATTTAGTTCTATAAGTCTCCAAAATACATATATGCAGTGTGGTTATACTTGTATTTTAGCTCAGGATATCTGACTAATAAAGGACTCTAATTCATTTTTTTCCAGTTAGGCATACCTTCTTATTTTGAATGGAACCCAGCACATCAAAGGTTCCAGTTGTGAACATTTCTGAAGATTAAGCAAGTTGCATACAGCATAATGAGAGGAGTTTGGGCATTCTGCTCTAGGGACACATGTTTAAAATTCATTTTATGTCCTCTGCAAATAGTGGTTACTTTCTGCTGTCTTTGCCTTTTTTTAGGCCTGCTGGTCATGCAAAACTTTACTATCTCATTATCCGTTCTCATGGGTGACCAATGTTTATTACAAAGCTGG